GTGCATCTTCTTTCTCGCATAGATGCTTGCTCCTGGTAAAGGCTCACTGTAAATATTTACCAAGGAAGGGACAGAGAGGGTAGTCACAGTTGGAAGATTGTTGTGAGACCTATAGGTCTGGTGCCTGCTCTTTCCTGCCTGAGTGACAGAGAGATGAGAATTACACAGAGGTGTGAGCTAAGGAAACAAATATGGACTGCTCTAGACTCCCCCACAGCATTACCTAACTATTTGAGGAAGCTGTGAAATCTAATGCTTTGTTAACTTTTATAAGTCATGCTAAAGCATTGGTATTTAACCTTCTATATGAAAACACATATTTTAATTAGTTATTCAGTTGTGAACAGCTATTTGATAGTAGCGGGAGGCTACGAGAATGCAATAGCGTGCTGGTTAGCATGTGTTGGCCCCATGCTCACCCTCATCACGGCAAGAGCATCTCACTGCTTAAGCCTTAAAGACCTGCAGTAAAGGCATGGAAGCAGAAAAGCCCCATGATTAGGGTGACATAGTGCTTTACTGCACTTTTCATTGGCACAAACACTCCAGAATAACAGCATGAATCAATCATCTGAGCCAATGTTTAGTAGTCATGAGTAAAGCGGGACTGTTGAGATTAAAATGATCTACAGTTTTGTTTTGTTTGAAATCAAGTGGAGGTGAGCAAGAAGGTGCTGGTGAGGGGAAACAGCAAGCAATCTTGAGAAACTGTATCAAAGAAGAAAAGGACCCTTTAGAAAAGTAGTATATTGAGGCCTTTTTTTTGCCTGTACAGCTGTACCAGAATGCCTTCTCAAGTATTTGCTGAGTGTAATTGCGTTTATTTCTAAAGAGTGCCAAAGGCAGATGAGCTCTGGGGTGTTCAGCTGTCGCAGGAAGAGGGTTGCTGCCCTGCTGCCCACCCCACCGCAGGGCTGGAGGTGATGCACTCCAGGGCATGGGGCAGCCTCACTCGCTGTCACAGCCCAGCTCTGACCCAGGTACCTGCCTGCCCTGTCAGCTTGCAACAGCAATGTCAACGTTAGCAGAGGAGAGGAGCGACCTGCTGGGACGTTAGTAGTTTAACACGCCAGAAGTTTGGGTCTGTTTCCCCAGCATTCTACTTTCAGACGCAGTACAGCAAACAGTTGGAGTTTCCTTTCTCACAGCTCCCACCAGCGCTCTGCCCAAAATACACTTGCTTTCTTGGAGTTTTTGTCTCCTGACAGTACCGCAGTGCTTTTCTTTCTCCTTATATCTGGGATCAAATGCACAAATTTTCCTGTGCAAACCACCAGCCAGCCTCTCAGTCTTCAGCATAGTTCCAAGGCATAGGTACCCAACTTCGTGGCAGCGCTTGAGTTTTGCCCAGTCACCACTGCCTGTGCTGATGCTGCCTCTGAGGAGTCAGGCAGAGAGAAAAGCCTCCACTCCCACCACCTCCATCCCCATCCCCATCACATAGCTGTAGAGGTGTTAGACGACTGCCCGCTCCCTGCTGCAGAGGCTGCACAAGCCCCAGCAGCTACCACTGCTGGCTGGGTACTCTGTCCTCATTTGTGCCCTGCTCATAAAAAAAAGGCAGCTAGTATTAGGTGGTATCCAGGGATAAGGTGGAAGCTTACAAACTTACTCTTTTTACAGTCCAACCTGTTTAATATTATAGTTCAACAGCTGAAAATCTAAGGCCACAGCTTTCTTAGCATTAAGCGGTGGCAGGAACCGTACCTGGGCAGGGAACACCACTGGCATTGCTCCAGGGAGGCAGGGCAGTGCCCTCCCGACACACCCGGGAGCAGGACGGGAGTTAGATCCCCGGCCATCCCCAACAGCCACTTTGAGCGTGGCCACCCATTTCAAATGCTGGAAGTCTAACCGGGTGGCACGGCCGCTCCACGCCATGCGGCAGCACTTCACCGTCCCAGCACATTTAGCGTGCCAGTTACACCAAAGTCCGAGCACGTCCTCCCAGCCAGGGTTGGCAGCTTAGAGCCAGCTCCAGCCCTGGAGCCCTGCGCCTGTTTCAGCATGTGAGAGCGGGAGTGTGGCCGGAACGCAGAGCCCGACCCCTGGCCGGGCGAGAGACGGCCCCAGCCTCCCCCTGCTCCCCCCGCCTGTGTGCACACACGGTCCGAAAACCCCTGGCAGTGAACGTGTTATTTTACAAATGGTATTTCATTTGCAGCACTGTTACGAGAAGAAAAGCTTGCTTGTTCATCAGCTGCATGTGCTGTTTGCCACGAACTCCACTAAAGGATGCTGCTGACCATCTCGGTGAAAAGCAACAAAGTGCTGCACACAAGTTCTGTAAAGAAAATGTTTTATTTAAAGTGTTAAATACCATCACCAGAATGAGTTTGATTTACATTAGTTGGTGTTCATTACAGGCCTAATCTGCCTTTTTTTTTTCCCCCCCAACTGTAATTCCTTTTAACTTTTTAAAACGTACTATGTACAAGACAGCAGTGATCACTGGAATAGTGCTATTTACATGACTAAACCATAAGTAGAGTTGCAGACATGTGAAAATTAAAAAAAATACTTTTTTTTTTAAATAAATACTGCATAATGACGAGTATGTACACACCTTCCATGCGTCATGTCCTTGATTTTAAAATTTGAAATAGTTTATATAGGACTATGCATACAAGAATGTGTGAGCACATCTCACAGCATCAGGAAAATGGTTATGTATTTTTCTTTAATATCCTAGGGGAAACTGTAGACTGCATGTTAGTAGTATTTATTTGCTGCTGGTAGACAGGTGTCTAAATTATTTCAATAAATATAATTTTACCAGTCTGTCCATTAACTTAACAATAATCCGTTATATAAACTCTGAAGACAAGACACAATCTTGATTTATATGATATTGCACAAAGTAAAAGGCATTTTAAGTGATACTGTTATTACTTTTGCCCTCTTATGAGGCATGTACAATTTCTTAATGGGAAACTTTAATAGATTTTCAAATAAAATCAGAATAATTCTGTGTGGCCTTAAAGGTAAACGTAAAGTATATTTCAAAAATTATTGCAAGGATTCAATATTAAACCTTAAATAGGTATTAAAGGCATACAAAGACCCAGAAAAAAAGGACATTTTGTTATTAAATGTTAGCCAGTTACATTCCCTTTAAATAATGTAATTTAATGAGAAGCTTGAACTTGCAGCACCACCCAACGGTAGTTACTGCCTGCTACAAAAACCAGGTTTTTGAAGATCCACTGACTGCAGTGAGGGTTCTGGTAATGGTGTCAAATAGCTGTCGGAGTGGTACTGATAAACTTTCTTTAAGGCTATTTTACGAACCAAAGACTGATATTTCCAGACTGATATTACCTAATTATGTCTTTTGTAACACAAATGTAGTTTATGAAAATTGAACTTTACAGCAGAAGAACTGTACGAATTAGTAACCTTTGTTGCTTTTGTAATCCCAAAAATGTAGCAATTAATCTGGTTTAGTGCGAATAAAAGTGTTTAAATTTATTTCCTAAAAATCAACCAGGTACTTAATATTTCCTCTTTCCAAAAACCTTCAAGAAATGATAGTTCAACCTTTGAATGAAAGATGCTGGTGCTGAAAACAAATTTATTGAAGACATCTTACAATGGCCACATGATTCCAGTATTTTGCTGTAGAATTCAATTTGAAGGTGAGAAAAAATGAAAATAAGTTACCATGCACTGTACAATAAATTGCAAAAAGTTCAAATATCTTCTTTATCAAATACATGCTGAATTACATTAATGTACTCCCAAGCCATGTTGCAAAATCCTTTTCAACATGCTTGAAAAAAAGTAAGTTCTTAAACAATATTTTTCTCAAATAATTCAGAAATGCAGAACAATCTGCAACCCTGAACCAAATATGGGGCATAAGAGAGTAATAAGTCAAAAGGTAGCCATTTTAGAATATGATGATCATCCTGGGAGGTAGAGGGGAAAAAAAGCAAAATGAAGAAGGGAGACTGGAAGGAGAGATAGAGAAAGGAGGAGGTAAAAGAAGTGTACAATTTGCACATTATGTTGAACTTTACAAGGCTTGTACCTTTTACATTTAAATAAATTTAATATATTACACTTATTCCTTGTCACATAAACAGAATTTTAAATATTTGCTAGAAATTCTTTTTTGTTTTTAATATACGTCTGCAAAAATACAGACCATGACTGGTTTAAAGAATGATAAACGTGGTGTGTCTTTTTATCACCCTGTTGCATTCTCTTCCCTTTAAAACCATGCACTAGTGAAATTTATTTTTAAAAATAATATAAATTGTTGAAAATGGCTGATTTATTCTTTTTTTTTTGCAAGTTGCAGCCTAAAGAAAATAATTTAAGTGTTCAGCTAAATCTGTGTCCATGCAAAAAAGTTTCTTTAATTTCATACAGTACAGTATATCCACAGAATTTTATTTTTCAGAGAGTCCATCACATCTGGGGTTTCACTGTATCTATAGCTGGAGGTATGAAGCCTGCCACTTTAAGTCTTGAACCTTTTCAGTATGAAGAGTTTTCGGATCTCAAGCAACTGTTTCAACAGTTGACTTTTCCAGCATCCTTACATTCTTCTTCTCTTCCAATGTTTGCTAATCCACTGACTTGTAACATGGCTTCATGGGAGGGTAACTCCATTTCTGTGGCATAACCAAGCTTTAGGAGGGGAGGGCAGATAAATAAAGAAACGGGAGCAACAAAACAGATATGCCATTGAAAAGGACTTTTGTTGCATGAAACAGATTGATTCTTTTAGTTTAGTCCATGGCTTCAGATTGGACCAAAACTGAGTGTCCCTGAACTCCAAACCTATCAGTTCTTCATGACTTCAGTCCTTCACCTGAGGGCCTTCCGTAGGGCACAATGTGTGCAACTTCCTTGAGAACACAGGATCGCGTTGCAGCCCTAGAAACAGGCTCAGAAGACACAACATTAAGCATGCAGTGTTACCAGGGTTTGCGACCTGTAATTTTATTTTTTTTGTAACGCTGGTTGCTATGACAACAGTTTCACAGCTGCTATGAGCGAGCATACGAAGGTCCTGTTGAACTTTCAAGAGATGATTGGGAAGCTCTTCTAGTGAGAGGAGCTAAAGTTGGGTCTACTAGGGAAGAAGGAGGGAAGAGCTTGAACCACCCAATCACCATGTTGGACAGGTCCAGCTCATCTAAAAGTATCTGTGCCACTCCCATAAAGGATTTGTGATCCATACGTCCATAGTCTCCCCAAACAATTATCTGTTAGCAAAGGAAACACAAGAAAATAGAAAAAATTCAGCAAAAATGATGAGAGCTTCAATCTGATTCGTCAAATGTCTCAGCTTATTTAATTATAGTAAGGAATGAAATATTTGACTGCTGACATAGTTTACTTCTGTGTATACTAATCATGAAGCAGTGACAGAAATGACCTGGGCAGTAACAGAGCAGTTATCCATGATACTAATGAAAGCCCAGTGAGCGAAGGAGCCCATACATATAGTAGAAGCAAAATAATCTACAACTAACTTTCGCTCAGCACTTTCTACTTGCATCAACAGTTATTACTGTAGTATTTATCTGCTCGACAAGTATTTGAAATAGCAGAGCTTGCCAAATGAAGCATGAAAGGAAGTTTGAAACTCATTCAGTGAAAACTGTACAGGTGACGTTTTCAGATTCAGAAGAATATTGATGCAAATTACCTGTAAAACTTTTCCTTGGGGACTTTCTTCAAATGATAGAAGTTGCTGATAAAGTGGTTCCAGCGTTTTTCTTGCTACCTTTGTTTTCTTTTTGGCTATGCAGACTCCATTTTCTAACAGATACACCTTTACATATGGTGCTTAGAAGAAAGAAAATAAAGAACACTAAGTAAAGAAGTCGTCCAGATTTTTTGCATAACAGATGCACCGTTCTGTCACCATATGATAAAATCTGCCTTTTACTGGATATATAACTTATATGAACAAATCTCCACAAGCAATATTAATGTTTATTCACATGCAAAGCATCCATGCATTTTCTTTACTTTTCTCCCTGGTATGCTTTTTTCTTTACTTCTTTTTATATGTCTCTTTTGCCATGAAACAATTCAGATTTTGACCTGGAAAAATCAGATATTCCTATATAAAAAATCAGATATTCCTATATATAGTATCCCCATACTGTACAATATGCAAAATAGGCCTGTTAAGTAAATGAATGACTTGCATTGACTTTGGTGAATTCAGATTTACCTGGAAAAATCAGATATTCCTATATAAAAAATCAGATATTCCTATATATAGTATCCCCCCACTGTACAATATGCAAAATAGGCCTGTTAAGTAAATGAATGACTTGCATTGACTTTGGTGAGATTTGGATCAATGCTCCAAATTGTTAATAATTTAAAATTATCTACAAGGTGAAAATCAGTGAAGAAAAGACTCTGACACAATTTCTATTTTGGCAGAAGAGCTTGCTAAAAATATCATTATATTGTCCTTTTCACATAGTGTTATAGGACATCAGATTATAAAATAAGGAGTAAGTATCAAATACTGGTCTACTTTTCAAGTAGGTACCTATTCCACACTTCTTGTTGACTCCCTCTTATGCCTAAGATTCCTATATCACATCTTCAGTATATACCTTCCTTCCTACCCCATAACCAAGGATGCATCTGCTATTACTAAAATACTTTTGTATCTTCTGGTAGCCCAGACATCAGTCTGATTTTTTTTTCCTCCTGAAGTAGGATTGATTTTTTGTATACCGCTTCAATACATTATGCATTTCAGCGTACAATACTGTAATCTACTGATATGTGAATTTGCTAAGAGTTTACCTAAGCTGAACAGTAAAGCCTCAGAAGTTGGGGGTTTGTTGGATTTTTTTGGTAGAACTCTATTCTTGTTGCTAAGATTTTTCTTCCTTACCTGGCAGTGTCTTTGAACCTGGTTTTACAACAAGGCCACGGGCTCGGATTATTTCTACTTCCAGTTGTCCTTTCTTGTCCATCATTCCCACCTGGATATCTCCTAGACAACAAAAAGAAATCCTGGCATTGTAATTCAGAAATACCTAAATATATGAAAAGCTATGGGAATTTCTAGGATGAATACGTGACGACTTGTATCGTCTGCATTCCACCAATAAGTATGATCTGGATTTTAACATTACTAGATAATTTAATACTTACCCTCTTCACTGCTATTTACGTTAGCGAACAATTAAAAAACCCTGCAATAACATCTTGTCTCCCATTTCCCATGCCCCTATCACTTCAAATTAAATATTTTTTTTTGTCTTAAGAATTTCAGATTAAAAAAAGGCAGCAAGGGAATTAGTACAAAGCAGCTCTGTAAAACTGCTTGAAAACTCTTCACCATGCCTCTAGTTTAAAACAAGGTATGAAAAGATAACTTTGGAATATAAAAAGGCTGTAAGCACAACAATAACAAATACTTGGCACCTAAATTCCCATTTTTATTCAATATTATCCAAGTGATTCAGAGAAAGGATTGGTCTCGTTAGCCACATTTTAAAGATGGAAAACTGAAGAAGAGATAAAAGACTGAATTTTTCAAAGCACCTTTCTACTTTTGAGTGTCTTAATGAGCATCCACAATTATGTTCAACTTTGGCTGAGGTTATAGTTTTGGTCTTAACTGAGTTGTTCATAACCATATGGGAAAGAGGTATTTAAAGACTTAGAATCTAGATAATTTCTATGTTCTAACTACCAGACCCAGTAGATTATATCATATCTATAGGACATAAATGCTTACCCATTGATGGTGTTGCCAAAGTCTGTCGTCCTACAAGCTGGGCAGGACCAAGTCCATCCAGAAAATCACTGAACTGGCTGTCTGCAGCCAACCTCACACCAGGGAAAATCAAACTAAAAAAGAATATTGAAAAAAAACCCAAAATAAATACACTTGAATTCGCCCTTTTTTGTTTTCTAGATGTTTTGCATTTAGCATTTATGTTTTTGGTACTACTGCTCACAAAGAACTTACACTGACAAGATTACAAAACATTTATTGTAATTTTCAAAACTTCACAGTGTTCAACAAGCAGCAATTTGGCCTCCAGCATATAAACAAACAGGTGAAGGAAGCACTAATCCTCACTAAGTCTAATTTCCACAGTAATATTTTTCCATCATGCTCTCTTTTCCCAATGTATTAAAGACCACTGTTAATTATTGTAGTATACATATGAGACCAGTTCAATAAGATACTAATACATGCCCTTACCAGTAATTTAGTTACATGAAGGTAAAATTGCTAACGTTTCTCAGTCAATGTGAACGCAATGGCTGACTGTCAAATGTATCCAATGAAATTATTACATTAGACTGAATACCGGTCACTATTTTTAAAATCACCTTTTAAAATCAGCATTCATTATAAACATTTTGTTAAAAATGTCTTTGAGAATGACATCTATTCAATAATGGAACTGAAATCCGATGTGGCAAATGACCAAAGTAACTTCAAATTCTTGCCATAAATTATCCGTGACCCATTACAAGGCAACAAGAACTAATGAGATTTGTAATGACCAACCATAAATAAATGCCCATCTCAAGTGCATATAGTGCATCAACTTGGACATGTAAGATATATTGTCCAGTATAGGTGTATTGTGCAGTGCTGTGAATACCACTAATAAATCTATCCACAGTAAGATTTTTCTGGGCAGTGTCTTGGACATAGCACTCAGAAGTCTTTAACTTGGGCTTTTTTGAAAAGCATGATACACAACAGTCTCATACTTCTGCCCAGATCATTTCTTCAGGATTAATTAGCAGAATCTTTGAAAAAATCTTGAGCCCAGTGAATGACACCTGGAAATGCTCTGGAAATGCTTTGCTCTGCAAAGCACAGACGTATGCGAGGAGTTTTCAGAAGAGAACCTGTCCTTTTCTGTGTTTTACCCGGTGCACTGCACCTGCTTCCCCTCCTGCCACACCGCTCTGACCCACCAGGTGCCTTTCTCATGGCACGGCAGAAATGATCCTCATCCTTCCTGCACCAACAATGGGAGACTCTTTCGGTCACAGGGGAAGATATAGGCTTGGTCCATCAATGACACTAGCTTGTGAAGGGAATTCTGATTGAACAGGACCTACAGCGCTCACCGCACTTTTGTCTAACTACCAGTTTCATGGAGAAACATCAGGTAACCACAGTTATAACTGCTGCTTACTTTCCCTCAGAGCTGTAGCTGTTCATGCTCCCATCCGTTGACTCCCGGCTGGCCTGACGGGTCATCCAGTTCCTCATCTCCACAGCCAGCCCTGTCTCAGTGCTCCTCTGGACAGTGCTCCGCAGCTTCTTGCCCCCTGCTTCTGTGGAGACAAAAGAGAAGCCCCCATCGCACCGCGCTGTCGCAGCTGGGCGGCTCTGCGGGGCACCGCTGCGGGCAGCACACCACCACTGCACGTGGCAGAAACACTCGAAGCCAGAAATTAATGACCTGTACCAAAACTTCCATTTAAAAATTACCGTTTTTTTAATAATAGGCAAGCAGCATCGTGAATCTCTTTTACAGGACCTGAATTCTGTCACCGCCTGCTTTCCAAGGGCAGACAGCATACGCACAACACAAGTCTGCCCTCGGGGGTAACCAGATTTACACTATCCATATTCTAGTGTGTTTAAAATATGTTTTCTCTGGATGAATACATCCCTCTTAGAAATTCAATTAAAATGTTACCATTATGTCAAAACCTGCAGTGTCTGAGGAATGTTCTAATTCAGATGAATTATTTGATTTAAAAACATTTGGTCATTATCTGCTAAATCAAGTTACAGATATCCATTAGTGAGGATACTAAACAACAAACCAAGAACCCTTCCCATTCTTTCTTCTCTATTCATGCTCTTCTCATTTCACTAGCTGCTTTAACTTTATATCTAAAAAATACAGTATTGACTTTTATGCACAATATGAAACTTTATTACAACCTCCAAGAGTAACAATTTTTGTATCTGCTTGCATAGTTTAATTTTAGTTGTAAAAACAGCAAAGTGACAGATAGCTGGGTATCAGACAAGGGAAAAAAATACTCAGAACTTAATATAGTAACATTTTAGTGCAGGAATTTTGATCAAGACCTCAGCTGGAAGATATATTGAAAACACCACCAAAAAAAAACCCCAAAAAAAGAAAAGAAAGAAATGAGTAGGCATGAAGCTTCAGTTTTTCTTTCATGAAGACAGTCACTCCATGTCATTTTCTGATTTTAAATGCTGTTCCCTGCAATGGGGCAGGGAATTCTGTATTCCAATTTCTTTTATCTGTTCAATACCCCCCTGACTTCACCAGAGTGATGTGTGATATACTGATAATATTATAAAAGAGCAATAACTCTAAATGTACACGACACCAAATAATATCAGAATTCTTAACTATTGATACAATGAGGGTAGAGTAACGTCCAGTATCCTAGGATATCTAGGGACTCGCCCTCTTCTGCGCTTGTTTGTAGCCTCTGCTACCCTTTACACCTTCTCTGGCTCATCATGTACCAGAGGTCAGAAGACCTGCTGGACCTGTGGGGTCGATGAAGCTCTAGGGATTTGAGAAAGGAAATGAGCAAGGGAGGAGATTGTCCTGGGATAAGGACTCTCACACTCCGAGGAGAACGTGTGAGCACAGGGGCTGGCTTAGAGTAAGAGGACCCGCACCCTCGGACAGGGAATAGGAAGGGGGGCATCAATTTCAATGTCCACACTCAGTGTCACTCTGTCCTATAGCTGCAGTGTGGGTTGAAGTCTCCCAGGCCCTTCAGTCAGGAGGGATATTAGGTGAGATAAAGAACGTGGGAATTTTAGTCAAGTGGGAAGTAGGCACCCAAAACACCTTGAAACCCACTGGCCTCTTGTCAATAAAGATTAATAACTTTGCAATATTTAGCAGTAGTGAGACGTTTCTATAGCAGTATCATGAGTGGTTCAAATCATATTGCTTATTACAAGCCTTCTAAGCATTCCTTCAGACCATAACTTTTAATCAGTATATAAAAATAACAGAAGTAATAATTTTCCTCTAGAACTTCAGCTACCCACATGAATTTAGTACCCAACAGAGTGAAATAATTTTTTTACGATGTCAAAACTACTTCTGAAAATGCCCATCATTATCTGGTGCAAAAAATACAAATAAAAAAGATGCAAGGCTAACATGACGTATGAAAAATGGAGGGCAGAAGTCAACAATTTCATTTCTATTGGGTTGTACTGTTCCAAGTGTCTGCTGGCTTTATTATTTATATTAAACCAATGAATGCTGGCAGCTGACTTCCCACACTGGCCCAGAGTTGTTCTAAAATCCAATCACTCATATCAAAGAAATATTCCCGCAAAACTGCCAGGAAAAATTTGTGCTATAGTTTTGTGGAAAACGTACGCTGCATCATAGTTACATGTGAAAGGCACACAACTCCTGAAGCCCCATGCGCTTTTCATTCAAGTATTGTTACTCTTCCGTTGTGAGAGCTCTTTTGACTAGTAAGCATTCATTTTCATCCAGCCTTGTTGAATGGTGGTCATTCTCAGTTCATTATTGCAAACATATAATTCTCTCATGCAAATTTAACAGAACATCTCCATCTTGCATGATTCTTCAATCTCTTCATATCATATCTTTCAAAGATTTGGGGGTTTGGGATAAATATGTGTTTGAATATGTGATGTGTGAAGGAGTATATAGTAACTTTTATTTATTAGTAAGGCAGCTTTTTTCTGAATTAGAATTGTAAGTCTGTATGCCTTCACTCCAGCAGAACATTCACAGAAAAAAATCAATACATCTGTTGCACATCGATTTACTGAGAAATCAAGGCGGAACTGGTGCAATTGCCATTCAGTCTTCATAGAGGCACATGTGTAGCTGTTCTTAGCATCCCTCTGAATCTTATTTTTAAGCAGTTTTACTTTCCCGCATTCATTTTAACTGAAATAAGTGCTCTGGTTCATATGAAGACAGGCCGACAGCTGAGAAGATACAACTCTGATACAGCATGAAAGTTAGGCATGCATAGTATATCCAACTTTTGTATAAGTGCGGGTGGTAAACAGTAATTATTTTGACCTTAACACTGAATTTAAGGAGGGTTGAAAGGAGGCTACGTGAATAACTATTTTCCAGTTTTCAACAGAAAGAGGCAGAGCTCTCTGATGGTCTCAAAAGAGAAAGATCTGATCTTTCAGCAATAAGGCTCCTAATCATGATGTTGATGCTTCTTGAAATAAGAATTGAAGATTTTAACAGCAAAACGGCAATTTGGAATAGAAGTACAGAAGACCCAGATAACAGGCACGACTCCTGAGCCACTGCTTGAGAGATGAGTATTCTTTTAGATTAAGCTTGGCTAAACTAATATGTAATGATACACATGAGAAATACCTACACTTGATTGCCCACGATACTAGCAATACATTGGTCCCTGGAAAAATGGAATAAATAAAAAATAATCCCACAATTCCTCAAACAATTTAAAAGCAAAGACAGTATTTACATCATCCATAATTTGTGTTTCATAAATTCAGCATTAAAATGTTGCAAGTAGCAATGAAAATGCAAAGTAGTCACTTAACTTAAAGAAATAGCCTTTGGTGCTATACTTCCAAGCTGTAGCTGGTAGAAGATGTGGTTAAAGGTCTTACACTCTAGTAAATCCAAACTGTTTTCCCTCATTCCTGCCTGGAAATTAAAACCTCCTCTGTTGTGCTAACGCAACTACTTGTGTGGCTGCATTCTGTACTGGACCCAGCCCAAAAGGCAGAAACCAACAGTATGTTTTAAAGTTATTCTTTTTCTTTTAAGACAGATCATTTCCCAAAAACAGTTGTGAAAACAAACATACAGTTGAATGAACCCAACTGAGGTGATGCTAATCTCTAGCTAGATGAATAACTTGGGAATGCATCTGACACTAACACAGAAGTAAACATGTAACTGGTGCCACGGTAAAAGTGGGGGTTGGTTTTATAATCATAAAGTATATATACATATACACTCACCTCATGCACACTATTTTTAATCCTACCAAATGAAAGGATGGGGAAAAAAGAGAGTTTAGTAGTGTACTTTGTTGCTAAGTATGTTGCTGACCACCTACACTGAAAATAATTTTACTCACAATTTACTAAACTCTAATAAAGAACATTGAAAATATTCTCTAAATTTTATAATCTAATTGCCCTAGAAAGAAGAAATTTCTCTCAAGTCCCCATCACAAAATATGGAATATACTATCTGAAAAACACTAGTTCAGATTCTTGCAGCCATATTGTAAGGACTGGAATAAATTACCAGAAATAATTGCTTTGGCATTTATGAAAGTACATTCATTCTTACAGTTAATCACACTGGTAATTTAACTAATATGGTTACTGCAAATAGACTCCACAGGCCACATTTTCTAAACTACACATGGAATTATTTGTTCCCACAACTTGGGAGTGTAAATCATTTGCAAATTAGGGGTGCAAAACTACTGATACGATCTTCAATATCAGATGAGGACAAGTCAAAAACTGCAGTGAATGCAACAGATTACCTTCCGTGATCTGGGATCTAGCCAGATGAAATCTCCCTCCGCTCTCAGCTTGCTCTCAGCAAGAGCTTCCAACAACCGCTCACCACCAGGCACAGAGCCCCGAGAGAGGACATCGCCGGCGCAGGCAGAGGCAGGCTGGCTATGTCAGTCCCCAGGTGGTACGTGATCTCTTGGTAGGACTTGTACCGAGTACAGAGCAGCTGTGGCTTCAGAAACACACGCAAGTGTTTGAGGTGCCTCTTCTCTGCTCTCCTCACCTCACCAAAAAGGCTGCATAAAAACTGCTTCAGTATTTTCATTTGAACTCAGGAGTTAGCTGCCTGTTAAGTGACCATTTTTCAAGAGTAAAGCTCTTTACATATCTAGAGATCTGCTCTGGTCATGTTAAGAACAGGTTAGATAAAATCATCAGAGACAGTCCAAGAACATTTGATACTACCTAAGAAAAGGGGGACGGAGTAGGTCTCAAATTCCCTTGCAGCCGCACAATTCTGTGTCTGGAACAGCCCAGGTTTTGTCCGCACTGAATGAGGCATTTAGCTCTTGTTGAAGCACTGCTGGGAACCACAGCTGAGTTGTTTCTTTCCTTCTGTCACCCACAAACCCCAAGCAGCAGTCACGGATTAGGATCTACTAATTTCAGCAGCTCTGGGAAACCCAGATTCCACTGTCACCTCAGTTTGAGAAGCTTTGAACCCATCTCCCCAATTCTCAGAGGCCAGTGCTAACCACCAGCTTATGAAGCATCCTGTTACAATCCTTCTGATGAAGTTTTTTCACAG